GGCCACATGGTCACCGTCACCCGGGGCCTCCTCACGACTTCCAAGGCGAAGGAGCGAAAACCGAGGCTGCACGTGCACGCGGGCAGGCTGGGCGGGGGGAGTGTGGAGGGAACCGAGGAAGGCTGCCAGGAGACTGCAGTCTGGGAGCAGGGCCAAGAGAGGACAAGCGGGCAGCAGTTACGCAGCCAAAGAAAAGCCCTTGGACTGGACGCGGGAGGAAAGAAAGTGCTGGAGGAAATGAAAGAACAAAGCAGGCCGTCTGTGCCCGTCCTGGGTCAGTCCCTACCTTTTCTGCATGACAAACAGACACAAAACAACCCCAAACGGCACGGAGCGTGAGACACACTGGAGGTACAGAGGGCAGAGCCCGGGTGTGGTGGCGAGGCTGGGCCGGGTCAGTTGGCTTTGTACAAGGCGGCACAAAAGGTGCACGTGTTCCAGTTCTTGGAAACCTGCGTCCCTTGGAGCCTGGAGTGCCGGGTTTGGGAGTTTCCTATTGCAGTCTTTCAAGTCTGTGCCGGTCCCCCAGCAAGAGCGGCTGGCTCGGCCACCCCCCGCAGCTCCCACCTGGGGCTACACATCCGTGGAGAAGTACAGTGTGTTCCGCTTCAGTTCTGCGAAGGAAATGGGGGGGTGCTGCAGGTAGTAGAGGAGGACCTGGACCTGTGGGGAGACAGGGGAGACTGAGGTGAGGTCCTTGTCCTCATGGCCCCCTTCTGGTCTGTGGAGAAGAAATGGCCCGTAGGCTGTGTTGCTCCCCTTCCCTCTCAGGTGGGCTCCTGCCACTTCCCCTTCCTTGGCAGCCCAGGTGCGCCTGCCCCTTTGCAGCAGTAGGGGGTGCCGCAGGGCAGAGGGTGGGAGCCTGGGGCCCCTTCCCAGCCTGCCTCCAGAGGCTGGCTTTGGCTTGACATCTGCCTCAGACCGGACCCTGCTCTGGGTCCTGTAGGGTCCCAAGGAAGCCTCCTGCCCAGAAGCAGTCCTAGCTTCCACGGTGAGGACGAGGCCCCCGGCGTTTCCGGCCCCTGGGCTTCCTTTCGGAGACAGGCACGCCCAGGACTGAAGCCAGCGCCGGGCCCCTGGCCTCGGGGCCTGAGTATGAACTTGTTGTTTGGGTCTGGGAAGGGCAGGGCTGTCCAAGGTCCTGCCTCCCCGGTGACAGCCTGCAAACCACAAACCCAGCTGCTCAGGAGCGAAGGGGAGTGGGCTCTGAGCTGTTCTCTCCATCCTTCGGGGAGCAGGCCTCACCCTCTCCCGGCCACAGACGGCCGTGCGGTCGTACCTGTGCCATGACGTCGTGGGACCAGATGTCCGCAGCCGACGTGAGGTGTGCTTTGCTCTCCACTTCCGAGGGCCTCAGTAACGTGGGGCCAAACACGGTGGCCAGGTTGTGAAGGGACATTTTGTTGATGGGCTCCTTCTCAGCAACCCTGAGGGGGCGGGGAGGGGGGAGGTCAGTTCTCAGCAGGTGTAGGAGCTCCTAGAAGGATTCCGGGAAGGTGGTTACCAGCCTTCCTCTCCTAAGGGTAGAGACCTCTCGGTAGGGAGGGAGTCAAGGGACCAAGTCCCCAGCTACGTCCGTCCCAGGACATTCCTGTAACAGAGCCCCCGCTCTGGGGCCACCCCTGAACGGATGGTAGACCGTCAGAAGGACCCACACCAACACCTCTGCCTTAGAGACAATGGCATCATCAGCCCGAGAACTTTCCCGGTAATAAATCTTCCTCCTCAGCACCCGTCGGGTAAGTATTATTGTCTCCACTGTGCAGATGAAGAAGCCAAAGTACAGAGAGGTTAAGTGACTTCCCTGAAGTTCCCCAGCTACCAAGTGGGAGAGCTGGGATGGACCCAGGCGGCCTGCCCAGAGCCCCTGCTCCTCGCCCTCTTCACCCACTTTCCCCGTGACCAGTCAGGCCGCCTGCGTGGCCCAGGCAGGAGTGAGAGTGGGGGGCGGGCAGGGCCAGGAGCACAGGCAGGGGAGCTGGAGCCCCGCAGCAGGTGCTAACTAAACGCAACGCTCTGCCCTGTGTGTGGCAGGAACAAACCTTATCCAGAGGGGTCTGTCTCAGGGGACCCAGAGCTGCCTCCCTTAGGATATTTTTAAAAAATATATATATTTATTGATTTCAGAGAGGGAGGGAGAGAGAGATAGAAATGTCAATGAGAGAGAATCATTGATCGGCTGCTTCCTGCACTGCAGGCCCCTCACTGGGGATCAAGCCTGCCACCGAGCATATGCCCTTGACCAAAATCGAACCCAGGACCCTTCAGTCCGCAGGCCGACGCTCTATCCACTGAGCCAAACCGCCTAGGGCCCTCCCTCTGGATCTTCCTCTGCTTCTCTTGCACAACAGGCCACACGCTCTGTAGATATTTCCCGAGTGGCAGCAGGGGCTGCCTTCTGTGGGTCGTTTCCAGGCAGCTAGTTCTGCCCCACACATCAGAGAGGCCCTGGGCCTACCCAGTCCTAGGAAATGTCTCCGGGGCTGAGACCCACCCGCCCCGAGCAGCGCCTCTCCCCCCACTCCCAAATCTACCATCATTCCCAGCCCCAAGGCAAGAGTCATGGATGTGCCCGCTGACTGCTATGGAAACGGGCAGACAAACATGGCCATGCCAGGAGGCAGCTGTGCAGCCGGCCCAGCCCCTACACACACACACACACACACACACCCCAGCCAGGGGCCCAGATGTGGGAACAGACTGTGCCCGGTTCCCAGGGTGGAAAACCTAATGAATTTTCCCTTCCCATTCCTCCTCTGTGTCCTCCCCGCAGTGCTCGCCAAACTATTTGGGAATTGGTTGGGGCTCTGGTCCTGGCCAAACCAGAGGGAAAATGTCTCATAATGGGAAAAACAAGACACAGTCCCAGGCGTTTCCAGGTCTTGGCTGCCCCCCTGAGCCATCGCTGGGAGGCTGGGCCTGAGGGCCGGGGCTGCGCCCAGGGGGGACCTGGCCCAAGCACAGCCCCTCCCCAGGCGCCTCGGTCCTGGAAGGCGAACTGAAGGGACCCCTGGGGACTTTCGCTCCCCACTCACACCCCAGACAGTCCTGGGCCCAAAAGTGAGCGAGAAGGACACCTTCAGGGCTAGTTCCAGTCGCAGCTTAGCCGCAGGCCTCAACTTGAGCGGCTCCTGGTTTGGCCCGATTATAGAAGGAGACGGGGAGAAGGGGGGAAGGCCTTAGTTTAGGATTTGGGAGCTGGGATTCTAAGGACAGGCCTGCTAACCAGAGCAAATCCCTGCTGGGCCGTCGCCCTATCCGTTAAGTGTGGTCAAAACCCGAGGGCTGCTAACGTTTTCGACCATGACACCAACAGCAAGCACACCTTCACACTGTGGGGCACGCAGCTGAGCGTGACAGACAGAACGGACACGCACGCTGCCTGCCCGCAGCGCATCCTGCCGCCGCCCATGCTTTCCATTCGAAAGATGCCAAGGTGACTGAATGACCCACTGACTGCAAACCCACCCGTGGTTTCTGGCTCCAGCCTTGCCTTTCCAAGCATTCGGTGGCCAATGTTCCAGGCTGTTACTAGAACCCAAATATTTTTCAAAACAGAATTTGAGTGTAAGAACTTGAAGAGCAAACTCTCGCCCTGGCGGAGGGCCCGGCAGATGCCAGCACCACGGGGCCCTCCAGGGGCAGCAGGGGCTGCCTTCTGTGGGTCGTTTCCAGGCAGCTAGTTCTGCCCCACACATCAGAGGGGCCAGGGGCTCATTTCTCCTGGTGGGACCTGCGGCAGGTGTGTCCTCTCCAGCAGGTGCCTGCCCTGGGCTCCCTGCCCGCCTCCCCAACTGGAACACTGTTCGTTACCTTTTCAAGTGTTCCAGCAGGAAGAGGAAGGTGATGAGGTTGGGGTCGGGCAGGGAGCGGAGCAGGTGCATCATGCAGTTTTCCTTGGCAGCAGGGTCTGACAGGGCTGTGGGGAGAGACAGGGCTGGGGCGGGGCTTGGCTCCCAGGCAGGGGAGCCCTGGCCAGCGCCTGGTGGTTAGGAGGCTGCAGGCACCCAGGGGGAGCCCCGGCTGCCCTATTAACAGCCAGTTCCTCTAGGAGGCCCCACCCACAACCTGCAACTCAGCCAGGGGCAGCTGGTGGGGAGCAGACACCCGCCTCCCCTCACTGCACAGGCCTTTGCGGTTGATGCCGTTCCCCACCCCAGTCCGTCAGGCAAAGTTTAAGACAAGGATGACACTGCGTGGATGTTTTCTCAGCCACTCGGATGCCGGAGCACAGCAAGTGCCTTCCAGGGGCTCATTTCTCCTGGTGGCTGAAGCCCTGACCTGCCCCAGGGGAAGACGAGGCAGGAGGGATGCACCCAGGCCTGGATTTGGCCCCGGTGGATGGAGGCCAGAGCCCTGCTGGCCAGGGCCCTCCGCTGCCTCCCCACCCATGGCACCAGCCACCTCAAGTGCACTCCAGCTTTAACCAGGCTCTCCTCGGCTCTGGGGCGCTGGCCCCTGACCACCCACTGCAGGGCAGATTTCCTTGGACACCCAGGTTTCCAAGCGAGGGGGTCACTGTCCAAGGAGGAAGCACAGAGGGCAGCCCACGGGACAAGAGGGGAGAGAGGCAGGTGAGAGAGGGCCCAGCCGCTGGCTGAGGCCCCAGCAGACCGCACCCTGCCCCCTGGCTACTCAGGTGCAGTGAGCAGATCGATGAACAAGGGAAGCCACCGGCTCTTATGTGGCTCTTGACTCTGCTGGTCAGCAGGCCTGGCTCAGCCCGGCCCTCAGGTTCCCGGAGCCTCACCGATGCCCTCCATGAAGGCGGGGTACAGTCGGTCTGTGAGGAGGGGCTCGGGCAGCTCCCGGAAGTAGAGCTTGAGGGTGCCGGCGATGGCGTTGATGTCCATGTCACTCAGCATCAGGAGGATGTCCTTGTTATCTGTGGAGGAGGTGCGAGGTCAGGGGCCACACTGGCCCGAGCCACCTCTCCCGTGCGGCCCTCAGCGGGTTGGGTGCGGCTGTTCTCCTCCCCACCCATCCCTCACCTACCAGGGTGCCCCCACCCACTCCAACTCTGGCCTGGTCTCCCCCAGACAGGGAGGGTGCAGGGAGTGCCCACAGGCGGTCTGGGACTGAAATCCATGGGGGGAGGGGGAGGGGAGCAGAGTTCATCATCCAGAATTCTGGAGCCACATCCGAACCATGTGCCACACACCCTCCTTCCAGCTGGAACCTCCCCACTGCTCAGCCTGCGCTGGAAGACACTGCACATCTTTACACCGAAAACCATGTTCCAACGAAGCCTCCGCCTCCAGGTTGCACTGAGCAGCCAGCATGTCCCCAGCCCCCCAACCCTCCAGCCCAGGCTTCCCGACCGTGTCTGCCTGGCAGCCGCCCAGGGACACCCACACCACCCCAGGAGCCTGGGAGCTAGCGAGAGCCAGGAATTTGGACTCTGATGTCAGAAGGATCTGCGTTTAAGTCAGGCTCAAAACCTACTAGCTGGTGGGTAAGCCTGGGCAAATGTCTTGACCTCTCTGTGTCTCAGTTCCCTTACCTGTAGCAATGGGTAGGGGCTGGAGGGGAGGGGACCATATGATAAACTGCAGGAAGAGCCCTTGCCCCAGGGACTCAGAAATGGTTCAGCCCACGCCACCTGACTGCAGGTATAGGCCGAGGCTCCTCCCTCGCTAATCGGGCCTCCTGCCTCTGTGCCCCAGGGATCGGAAATGGTCCAGGCCACGCCACCCGACTGCAGGTATAGGCCGAGGCACCTCCCTCGCTAATCGGGCCTCCTGCCTCCGCTGGGCTCTCCTGTCCTCTACACGCCTGCTGGAGCACCATCTCCCCGCCGCCTCCACTGGGCTCTCCTGTCCTCTACACGCGTGCTGGAGCACCATCTCCCCGCCGCCTCCACTGGGCTCTCCTGTCCTCTACACGCGTGCTGGAGCACCATCTCCCCGCCGCCTCCACTGGGCTCTCCTGTCCTCTACACGCGTGCTGGAGCACCATCTCCCCGCCGCCTCCACTGGGCTCTCCTGTCCTCTACACGCGTGCTGGAGCACCATCTCCCCGCCGCCTCCACTGGGCTCTCCTGTCCTCTACACGCGTGCTGGAGCACCATCTCCCCGCCGCCTCCACTGGGCTCTCCTGTCCTCTACACGCGTGCTGGAGCACCATCTCCCCGCCGCCTCCACTGGGCTCTCCTGTCCTCTACACGCGTGCTGGAGCACCATCTCCCCGCCGCCTCCACTGGGCTCTCCTGTCCTCTACACGCGTGCTGGAGCACCATCTCCCCGCCGCCTCCACTGGGCTCTCCTGTCCTCTACACGCGTGCTGGAGCACCATCTCCCCGCCGCCTCCACTGGGCTCTCCTGTCCTCTACACGCGTGCTGGAGCACCATCTCCCCGCCGCCTCCACTGGGCTCTCCTGTCCTCTACACGCGTGCTGGAGCACCATCTCCCCGCCGCCTCCACTGGGCTCTCCTGTCCTCTACACGCGTGCTGGAGCACCATCTCCCCGCCGCCTCCACTGGGCTCTCCTGTCCTCTACACGCGTGCTGGAGCACCATCTCCCCGCCGCCTCCACTGGGCTCTCCTGTCCTCTACACGCGTGCTGGAGCACCATCTCCCCGCCGCCTCCACTGGGCTCTCCTGTCCTCTACACGCCTGCTGGAGCACCATCTCCCCGCCGCCTCCACTGGGCTCTCCTGTCCTCTACACGCCTGCTGGAGCACCATCTCCCCGCCGCCTCCTTTGGGCTCTCCTGTCCTCTACATGCCTGCTGGAGCACCATCTACCCGCCTCCTCCCACTGGGCCTCCGACTCACTGGCATCGAAGACGGCCTTCAGCGCCTGGATGTCTGTGGCCACCCCTGAGATGCGGTAGATGCCGACCTCCTCGATGCCCCTCTTCTCCACCTCCTCCACACACTGCCGCACGATGTAGGGCACCTTGGAGCGCTCCCGCCTGGGGGAGGAGAAGGGAGGAAGGGTGGAGGGAGGCCCCAGTGATGGCTACACAGACCCCTCCCCAAACACTTGGCCTTGGAGAGCTCTGGCCTCTGGAATCGGGAGGTGGGGCAGGGACAGGGCTGAGAGGCCATGCCATGCTGCCCACACAGCCCACCCAGCCCGCCTGCTGAGGGACAGCAGGACAAAGGGGGAGCTGGGAGGTAAGCTCAAAGGCTGGGAGGGAGTGGTCCTTAGGTCTCAGACTCTAATGCTATGGAAGACCCAGCAGGTAACCACCCACGGGAGGCGGGTCGGGCCCTGGAGACGGGGATGGTGGTGAGCTGAGGATGCAGCCCTTTTCCGAGGGGCGGCTACTCCTTGGAGTCCAGCCAGCCCCTGCCCAGGTGAAATCTTCCCATTTATTACGAGAGGCTGACGACCTGGCATTTTCCCAGGCAGCGCCCGCTGTGTCAATGCTGGCTCACATATTTCTAAGGCAGCATGTGCGGCAGAGAATACCCGCTGCGGGCCGCTTTTGGCTTCCGAACTTGCCACTGTGGCTACTGAACTGGAGGGCGACTGCTCAGGGGCCAGGCGAGGGCAGGCAGGGCTGGCAGGGGCCCTGGGCACTGACGCAGCACTCGCACCCGACGGAGGCAGCACCTACTTCGTCACCACGCTGATCTTCACGCCAAAGACGCCGGTCTGCTTTTTGGATGGCGTCCTCTTCAGGCTCATGTCTCGGCTGGTGAACTTCATGGAGAATTCCACTTTGATCTGCTTGGGGGTGAGGCAGGCGTGAGTGTCCGAGGAGTGCCCCCAAACCTACGGACCTCTCGCCGGGACTGTAAACAAAGCCCACCTCTTGCACCCAAGGCTCCTGACACACTGGTAGGGTGGGAGAGGGAAGGGTGTAGGGGGAGAAGGGAGGGGCTGGGCTGAGGGGCAGGACAGCACCCGAGGACACCAGCCAGAGGCCGGGCTGCCCACCCACTGTGCAGACATTTCCTCTCTCTCCAGCTCACCCCGTTCATCTCGATCACATCTGTGTGCCAGTTCTTGGTTTCTACGGTCTGTGGATCCAACTGTGAAGAAAGAAAAGACACAGTGAGAGAGAGATGACAGCTAGAGACCCAGCCAGATCGCTCTGTTGTTCAGCCACTGCTCATAAGCTGGCTAAGTGGTCAGGAAGGCAGGAGAGGGGCCTGAGGCTCATCCGGAAATCAACCCTTCAGGGTGGCTTCAGCCTCCAGCCCCCGCGCTCCCCTCCCCCGGCCTGGCTAGTGAAGGACTAACCCCCACTCAGTGAAGCAGGCAGCGCACAGTGTTAGGTACCTTTGCCTATCACCTCTCATCCACTCCTGACCATCACCCTGTGAGATGGGATTAGCACCCATTTCACAGATGCAGAAACTGAGGCTCACAAACAGTGAGCAATCTGCTTGATCCCCTGACATGGGGGGGATGTAGCCCATGCAGTGGAGGTGCTGATGGGGAGGCAGTGCGATGCAGACAGAGGTGAAGCCCTCTCAGAGTCAAGCTGCTGGGTCTGAATCCTGGCTCTGCCGCTGGCAGCTGCATGGCCCTGGGCCCTGGGAAGTTCTAACCTCGCGAAGGAAGCCGCATTCATTCCATCGGTTCACTGCAGTCAGTAACAGAGCCTTCCTCGCTGGGTGCTCTGGGGACTCAGTGAGATGCCTGTGGTAAGCGGTTGGTCCCCAACCTCTCGGCAGGGGCGGCCCCCACGTGAGGCAGGAGCCCCAGGGAAGGGGGGGGGGGATGACAGGAGAAGCTCAGAGGCCTCCCTCACGGGGGATGGGACAGGACTCCGTTTCTCTGACCCAGTGGCCTTCAAACTGTCTTCCCTTGTGCGCCCACAAAATCTGAAAACCATGCGCTCTCCGGCACGTTTTAAAATCAACATCTGAATATTTCCAAGGCGAGTTTAAATACTTGCAAGGAATAGAATTTCCAAAGTAATGTAAATATTTACATCTTAAAATAAAACTGTTACCTCATGCTCTTAAATGTGTCCCGTGAAGCCCAAACAGCATGTGATTCGATACCCAGCGCCCTCCGCGGACAAAGGCATCATGGCCCTTCCTGCCCTCGCCGCCCCCGTCGCCTCCCCCTCCTGAGCCTGCTTCCAGTCTCTTTTCCCAAAGGGCTTTGCCCTCGTTTGTATTTTTTTGATGTGAAAGCCTTTTATTTGTCACCCTATTCTATTTCACTTCAATAAGAGTATCTGTATAAATGGAAATGAAAGATTTCCTCAGACCACAAGGCTCTAAATATTCAAAACATATTCTGGGTCAGTTATTACAATAATTAGCAGCATACAATAAAATTAACCACCACGCTGGAAACTGTAATAACTGTTCAGCAGCGGAGGGCCATTTTGGTGGAATGGCGCCCCTTAAGCAGACGGGTAGAGCGTGTTTTCTTAGTTAGTTCATGTGTGTATATGAATGGTATGCTTTGCCCTGCTGAGACAGGGTATAACATCAATTCCGTTCATATTTTGGGGTTTTTTGTTTTGAAAGATGTAAAGAACAGAGCATCCTGTTCGCATAAAGAAGTAGATGAGGCCTACGTAGTTTTATGGTAGCAATGTTAAGCAGTATTTAACTTCTTTGTTGGTTGCTTTAAATTGCACATATACCCATTGTCAAAATTTACTTTAAACAACCTCTCAGCTGCCAATTTCCATCTGTTGTAAAAAACAACGAAGGGAAGCCACCTGGAGACAGGATCTATCACCAGCCATTGGCCTTTCATCTTTCCAACCCCTGCCCCAGCATCCCAAGTGGCCCCTCTGCTGTGCACCCCAGAGGTGGCAGACCCGGCCACGTCCCCAGCCCCCAGCGAGCCTCGGGCTCCCCTGTAGAGAGAGGTGACGGTCAAAGGCCCTTCACCAGACGATCGCTTTTTGACAACAGCACCGATGGGAGCTGAGGATCTGCAAACTGACTCCCTTGAAACTCCCCCTGCCATGCAGCCCTTGGAGAGTCCCTGCACACCCCAGGGACACGTGCACGGTCTGAACCCCGCTGCTCAACAGGCCTCACCGCGGAGGAAACCCACCCGGGGCAAGCCAGGGTGCGTTGGGGCTTCTTACAGCTCGAGGTAAGTCCTTCCTGAACCTTCCATCATGCACACACCAACTCCATGGTCACGGCACCTGGCCAGAATCACCTCAGGCCACTCCGCTGCCCCAGCTCCCCCGACAGCTGCCACGGACTGAGCCAGGGGCCCCTCCACGGGTCCTGCAGTGGAATCTGGCCACAGCCCGAGTGGGAAAGGGTAGGGATGGAGAGCCCAGATGTTCGTTCTTCTCTCAACTGTGTGAATTGGGGCGAGTCACATTACCTTTCTGAACCTCGGTTTCCGTGCGGGGGTGTCCGTACCCGCCTCAGAGGGCTGCTATGGAAAACAGCAACAGCAAATGCTGACTTGGGAGCATCTCCTGTGAGGCTGGCACCATGCCGAACCCTTTATGTGCAGCATCTCCATGAACCATCATCACAGGCCTCATAGGTGTCAGCCTTGATAGCTGCTCCCATTGTACAGACGGGGACATGGAGGCTGAACGAGGACGAGGAGCCAGCCTAGTGCCGCACATCTACAAAGTGAGAGCTGGGGGACAAAGTCAAGTCTCTCAGACTCATCGGCTCTGCTGACCCTGCAAGATAACGCACCTGGCCTGGCGCCGGCACCTCTGGGCGAAGACGACGGCTGCTGTTCCCGTTATTTATTTAGAAGGGAGACATCAGGGCTCCTGGCACATGGACTGGCACCTGGGGCGGACCTGGTGCTGGCAGGCACCGCCAGTACAACCCTTCTGTTACTTCTCTCCCCACTGCTTCTGTTCTAGCTGCCAAGTCGCAGCCCTACATTTTCCTGGGAGCAGCGGAGACAGGAAAAGCAACTTCTGCTAAGGCCCAGAGCTAGCCCTGCTTCCTCCAGAAAGCCTTCCGGGAAACCCCAGGCCTCAGGAGCCTCCCGGTCCCTCTGCCCCTTGCACTAAGGCCTGGCCCTCCGCAGCCTGCTGGCACCATTTGCAGCTGTTCTGCACGCACCAGCCTGTCCGAGGCCAGATGAGTTTTACCGAAAGTTCCCACCACCACCCAAGTTCCCACCACCGCCTCATTCCCGCTCCCCTCTCCAGGTGCACCCTGGGACCCGCTCAGGGAGGCCTGCCCAGCCCCTGGCGCCCCGACAATGGCGCTCTGTCTCCCAGGAGGCCAGCAGCCTCTGGAAGCCAAGTCTATTTCAGGATGTCATTTAAATACAGAGAAGGGAGGGTGCAGAGTAGAGGGACATGGCACGTTTTCCAGAGAAATGATGCTGCCTGCATTGCCGTGGCTATTTATAACCCCTGGGAAATGTGGACTCTGCTATTTCCTGATTAGATTAGTGCTGGGGGCAGAGGGGCCGGCCCCTGGGATGGTGTGGATAGGGACACCTGACTGCTCACCCTCCAGTCCCAGCAGATAGGGGCCATCCACCGCCCTGCGGAGCAGGCACCTGGGGACCTCAGATCACCTGAGGGAGGGAGGCAGACGGGGCTGCACAGGGTCAGGCTGGGGAGACCCCCAGAGGGCCCCTCCTTCACCCTACAGGAAATACACATGCAGTGGGGCTCCCCAAAGTGGGGCCCAAGCAGGAGGTAGAAATGGGCCATAGGACATGCTGGAGAAAGTGATGAACGAGTGGGCTGTACATGGCCACTGGGAGCAGCTCAACCGTGTTGAGCAGCCTTTGCATTTGGACTTGGTCTGATCATATCTGCCTACCCAGACGTTTCTCTGTCAGGGAGATTCGGCCAACCTCTGGGACTAATGTCCAGGAGAGAACCACTAGGGCCCCTGCCACGGAATCCTGGGCATCTGGGGGACCCTGCGTCCCCACCTGGGAGGCCGCAGACTCGGGGAGAGTGGCAGGAGCTGGGAGGCCGCCTGACCTAGCTGGGCCTCAGCGGCCTCGTGTTCGGGATGGGGAACACCCAGTGGCCTTGCAGAGGCCCGAGGATCAGAGGACCCGAGGGCAGGGGCGTGTGCTCAGTGCACACCCGAGCACGCTCCCGATGGTGGTGTCACCTTCATTTTGGGAATGTCCTCCGGGGTCCCCTCCGAGGGGTCTCAGCCCTTCCTCCCGGCCCCTTTGTCTCCAGCCTGGGGCAGGTGACCCCGTGCTGGCCGTTCATGGCACCCCCGGTGCTTGGGATTCCAGCGGCACCGGAGCGTCTGGGGTCCCCATCCTGCTCTCCTGAGTAGGTGACAGAGCTCATGTTCCAAACCGGGTCCTTCTGAGGGTGGGCAAGTCTTCCCACTGTACCACACGCCGTCAACCACCCCGCAGGCCCAAAGTCTGCCACCGCCCTCTCCCCTCCCCTCCCATGGGCTACTTCAATCCATGAGGGGCCTGTGGTGGCCCTTCTATGACAGCACGGCCGGGGCAGGGGGCGGGGGACGCCCAGGCACAGAGGTGCTCACGGGGTGATGGGTCCGTGCAGACCTAGAGACCTATTCACCAGGGGCCCAGGGCTCCCAGGACTCCACTTCCTCCCCCCAGTCCCTCGATGCTAACCCTTCCGTTAGAGCCCACTGTCCCCCCAGCACAGCCCCTGCCCGGCCTCTGTCCCTCTGCAGGCCGAGCACGCCCTTTCTTTCGCTCGGCACTGCTCTCCCCTGGGCTCTCCGGGCCGCGGCCTGCCCTGAGTGGCGGCGTGGACGTCCCTCGAAGCCCAGCGTTGTCTTTAGGACTAGTAAGAACTAAGTGCTCTAACAGTAAGGAGTCAGTTGGGCACAGCGACGCTGTCGCCCTAAGAGGTGGATGGGGGCTGAATGGGGAGGCAGAGCTGTTCTGGCCGTGTTTCTGGGGACGCCTGCCAGAGGCGGTGCTGGCTGTGCCCAGGCCCCGAGCCGGTGCCCTGTCTGCCTGGGGCCCGCTTCCGGTGGCTCCCAGGCCTGGGCCACGGTGGCGGTCCCGGCTGACTTTCCCCTGCCTCCTCGGGTGCATTCCCATGCCCTGGGCTGGGTCCCCTGCAGACACCAGAGCCAGCCTGTCATTGGGACAGACCACA